ATTGCCCCAAACACAGTGAAACAGCAGCACAAACTCCTTGGAAAGCCTTGATTTCATATCCACTATATTTTTGCTTTTATCTGTCTCCAGACTGATAAAAACACTATAGTAATGTAACGTACACGGCCGACATTACAGGTTGTGCGAGCCGGCTTACCAGCACGGTGATGTCACCGCCCTTCCCTGTGAATAGCAGGGACCTCAGCTGCCGGGCTGAGGGGAGATTTCTCTTTAGCTCAACTGGCTGGGTCCCTGTTGAGTGACGCTGGAGGCCTGGGTTCGAGTTCCCAGCATTGGGGGGCTGACCTAAGGTGGCACGGGTGAGGGCGCATACCCGCATGAACCTGAGAGCGCTACATTGGTGTGAGAAGTGGGATGGGATAGCCCTTCGCCGAGGATGGCGAATTAAGTGGGGGAGAGTGTAACGCATACGGCCGACATTACAGTAACAACAGATCAGCTGATACTTCCTGCAAAGTGATGCCAGTTCCTCCTGGTTTGCTGACGCAAATTGCTGAGTTTTTGACTAGATGAAGTTAGTCTTTTTTTAAAAAAACTTGCAAGAAGTTGAACATTTTAAATGGAAACCTATGAAGCATGAAGCCTCAGTTCCTTTTTTTCTCAAACAAAAGCACAAAAACACACAGTGAATTGTTTTTTTCTTAATTTCTATTCTTCTATTTATAAAGAAGTGAGACTACTGTACAGTACATACTTTTTAGAGGGGGATTGCGTAGAATGAGAATACAACTGATACATTGTTCTTTATATTTTTATATGTCCCATCACTTTTTTTCTGATTTACTTTTCTTAAATTGGTGAAAGACAAATGATAAACTGATGGAAAATTACCACATACATAACAATATATGAGAAGTTTAGGATAAATTACAAAAATATATCTCATAAATTACAGATTAGAACAATGGAAAAGATGTACTTAATTGGTTGTTTTACATACATTTCAACAAGTTATACTTTTCAGGTGGCATTTGTTTTTGTGTATGATTGCCTGCCTTAGTAACCTTTTTCTTTGAGTATTTTTAGAAATTGACTTTGCTCACAAATTTTGCAAAAAGAAATACTGAATCAACAGTGAGTGAGTGTGTGCTTGTGTGTGTCCGTGTCTGTCTGCCCATTGATGGACTGGCGTCCATCCAGGGTGTATCCGCCTTGTGCTCATTGCTTGCTGGGATAGGTTCCGGCTGTCCTGCAATCCTGAACTGGAAAAAGCAGCTAGAAAATGGGCGGATGGAAATCACCAGTGAGTTCATGGTTGTGGGTTCACTGTTTTTGTTTCCTGTGCTTAATGAGAAATAACTGCTTTGGAAGGAGTGCATATGGAAAGTCCCTCAGATTGACTTGGCAAACACACCAGGAAAATTTCTAGCCCTCAGACAATCATGACATGAGCCAGGATGGTACAGTAGCTCCCAAACGTTCCTGATATCTACCAATACGCTAGACATTTACTTTTCATATATGCTGTAATAACAAGTAAAGAGAACCTATGAATCTGCAAATAGTGCTTAACTAATAACATCCAACTTCAAAAGACATTATACATTATTTTTGTTAGAATCATAGGTAATTTTTTTTTACCTCTGTAGAGTTTTCTAACTCAACAAACGTCACACATACAGTTTAAGTTGCATTTTGTTCACACCTAGCATAATCTGCAATATCGTAAAACAACTCCCATTAGATATATAAAGCATTAGGAACAACAGTAAATCGAGTAGAGGAATACCAAAGTTTGTCACTAGAGGTCACAATATAACAATGGATAACCTGGGAAAAATCACACTAATACTACAGCATCATTCTAGGAATAAGGAATCAAGTACATTTTATTTAAATGAACACATTTAACCCACCCTAAAACCTATGGATCTAAAACACAATATCCGGAGTTTATTAATCTTGTTATGACAAGAATAGTAGTGAAATGAAAAATAAATCATGCATTAATGTTCTAACATTATAATTATTATCTAAAAACATCTATGAATTGGCTTCATTACTCTGCTCTCCTCCCCACTAATAGCTGATGTGTGGTGAGTGCTCTGGCACACTATGGTTGCCGTCGCATCATCCAGGTGGGTGCTGCACATTGGTGGTGGTGGAGGGGAGTCCCCATTACCTGTAAAGCGCTTTGAATGGAGTGTCCAGAAAAGCGCTATATAAATGTAAGCAATTATTAATTATTATTATTATTATTATTATTATTATTATTATTATTAATTATATTCCAGCTGCCAGATAGGTTTTCCATTTACTTTATATATCTCTGAAGTCCTATAGCTGCAGATGTGATTCTCAATGTAAATCATTTGTAAAAGTGCATGCATGAATACTGTTACTTTTTTCCTTCGATGTCTCAGTGTTATACAGTACATTGTAAAGATGATTAAGAGATTCTGTAAAATGGCTCAGTACAAAATCTTATTAAATGCTTTTCTAGATTCTTATTCCAGCCATGAACTGTATATAGATTTTATTATGTTATTTACAGTATATAGCTTTTTATATCAAGGAAACAATGCAAAGAATGAAGTACTTTGTAATTGTAACTTATGCTTCCTCTAATGCAGTGCACTACAATATTATTAACACATACAGTAGGCTTATACATTTTTTATTTAAACCTTATATTGTCATAAAGTATAGTGTCATTTTTAAGCAGTTCATCCAACCACCCATCAATCTGAAAGGCTCTTATTCCTGGTTAGGGTCGCAGCAAAATGGAGTCTCTTCTCGCAAAACAGGTTATGAGGTGAGACAGCACCTCAGTGGAAAGGCAGTGCATTGCAGGAAGCACACACAACCACATGCACAAATTAGAGCCTATTTACCTAGCCTGAAGGTCTTTGGAAGGCATGAGGAAAACAGAGCATGAGGCTGTTCATATGACCTAATGTTGAGCAAATTGCCTGGGTCATGCTAATGAATCTTCACAAAGACTCGGCGCCAGGGCAGTTCAGCTGCAAATTCAAAGTCAGAGTCTGAAGCATTTGTGCCTCCTATGTAAATTTTTTTTAAAAAAATTGATGAACTTTCTGAATTAAAAGTGTGTTTACTTTGAAGGACTAGATCCACTGAAATATACCACAACTGCTGGTCTGGGTTTCTTCCCAAATGTATTTCTGATGTTGTAAATTTTCTGCACGTGTGCTGCCTGTAAAAACTAATGTCAAAATATTAAAATAATATAATAAATAAATACATGAAAAAATAATAAAAATCATCATAGAGAATTAATGAACAGAATAGGAAGTTAAAGCCATCAAATAGTTTGACTATAAGCATCTACAAGGACAAATAACAATTTTTTGCAACCAGAACTTCTACAGGAACTAAACCAAGACAAGCAATGATTCCTGAGCTCTTATTAATATATTTTTTTATATACATCTTCATTCTGTATTATAACATTGTTTTTTTTCTTCTTATGGTGTTATAAACTATTGAAATATTCAATATATTTCAATAGGGTACCTCAATGTAGTCTCTGTTAATAAAGACATGCTTAGTTTTTTAGTCTTCATATTTAGTTAATTAACTGAGACTTTTCCCTTTGAAATCTAATCTTTGAAGACAGATTGACAGGAGACTGCTTCTATGAATATTTTACAACCTTGTAACTGAACACATTCCAGGCTCGTTCCAGAACTTACCTAAGGCTTCATCTCTTCAGACATGGATTCTGGAGACGTAAGTAGTTATACAAATTTTATAACTCTTTGTTTTATATTACACAATCTGGTTTATGCAATCCGGACTTGAAAAGTGCCTTATTTTGGAGAGAATTGCAAAAATAAAGATTCCCTCATGTTATATCCTTAAAGATAGGTGCTTTTCAGAAATTATTACAGACTGTGGAATTTCTTTGATTCTGAGGCTGGGCTCAACTTGCTTTACTAAAGCTCTTTTCTGACAGTTCAGACAGCTCAGGGTGTATAAATTTAACTAAGTAATACTAAACGTCTGAGGATGGTCAGTGTTAAACCCCAATACAACTTGCTGGAGATAGGAAATGATTTGAGAGTGGCTAAACATATATTGACATAGGAACAAGTAATAGGTTTATTCCATGCTGAAAAAAAGAAGAAAGAGAACACAACGTTTCGGCCGTGGAGCCTTCTTCAGGTGTTACTCCACGGCCGAAACGTTGTGTTCTCTTTCTCCTTTTTTTCAGCATGGAATAAACCTATTACTTGTTCCTTTGCAGCCTACGCATCCTGACGCAGCTCCCCACCTGAACATATATTGACATATTTTTGTTCTCAGAGTTCCAAGGATGTTGCTGTGCGAGTGGGTGTGATATTTACACAGAAGACAGGTAAAAGTGTTATTATTATTATTATTAAAATAACTTATTGTCTATAGTGTATTTTTCCTTCTGGTGCCATTTAGGGAGTCAAGTTAAGATGATTTGTAAGACAGAAGCAGGTAAAATGTTATTTCTTAACAATACCACTGGGTTATTTTTTGTTCCATTGTGACAAAATATTAATTTTAGTTAATGTATAATTAACCTGTGTGTGAATGATTAGGAAGATAGTAAATGGCAATATTATGAATCCAGTGAGCATTTAAGATTCTGGCAGAGAAACATAAAACCTGGTGCAGAAAATCATTATTTTATAATTCCACATTGCATGTACTGTATTGTAGACGTAAATAATGTATAAAATACATGTATTTGACACTACGAGGACAGGTTTAGAACATCTAGGGTTCCAGAGACAATGATAATTGAAAAACATTACAGCTGACAAATGACTATTCTCAGGAAAAGCAGGCAACAATGCCTGAAACAACAATATCTGTGTGCCTCAACCTATTTCAGAAATATTTTGAAAAATCCCATGGTAAATATTGAAAGCACTTGTAGCTTTTCTTAAAACTTTTTTTTAGGAAATGAAAAAAACAAGCTACGACTAACTTTAAATGAAGATGAAAACTGTGTGATTTATTGTCAAGGGGAAAGCAAGGTAAGAAATACATGATTGCTATAGGATGAAATAACATTCTGTTACTTGTATAGACTTTTCTGAAGAATGAGGAGAGTGTGTTACAATATACTTTAAAGTCTAAAGCAGGATATAATTTAAATGTATAGTATAAGAACATTAATTGAGTAATATACAATTTATACTGTATGTGGAGTAAGAATACTATCCCACTTGTGGCCTTCCGCTGTTATTGAGGTCAATTCAGTATTTGCTACTGGTGACTCTTAGGTACACAATATCTCAACTCAAACCTCTGTCTTCCTTGGTGCAGGACTCATCCTGTAATCTATGCATTTTTGTTTCCCTTTTAACAATTATGTTGTGTGGCCATTTTTCAGCGTTGATACAGCATCATCACCTATGTTTTTGTAGGAATGTGCCTTTTCATTTGATGCTGTTGTGAACCATAACAGTGCACAGGTAAGAAATTTAAACAAAATGTGTTGCTAAAGTATGTTTAATTAGAACTCCACAGATGTACATTTGTATGGATTTTTACCCTATAATTTAGATTTGATAACAATTTGAGTTCATACTGGTTTTAGGAGAAACTTTACCCTGAGCTCCTGCTACCTCTGGTGCCATTGGTGGTGTCTGGTTACAGTGGGAATGTGCTGGTGGCAGGTACGCACAGATCAGGGAAAGAGAATATCCTGTGCGGACAAGTGATTGTCAGACAGGTAAAGTTTATTAACAACCCCTTTTACTGTTCCCCTTGTATTTTATTTTCCAGAACTTTTCAGGGAGTTTCAAAGTTATTTTGGGACAATGAAAAACGTTCTTTCATTGCCTCATGAGAGATCTATTTCAAAGTGATTGCTTTGTCAAGTTTCTCATTGTTTGTCTTTACCTAATGAAGTGCAAATCAAACAGTGCACTTTATCAACTCAGCCATGGCAACCAATCAGGTCAGCAATGAATGGGAGAGCTACGACTAGATTCTGAAATTCCATCATAGAATAACAGCAATAACATAACTGATGTTTGTGATAGATAATCTACAGGACTTGAGAAGCCATATGGAGATAAAAATGAAACTGTTTGTCTTATTTTAGCTGATTGAAGATTTTTTCAATGAATTAAACAAGATGACAGATGGGGAATGGTTTACAACAGTGTCCTTTGTACAGGTAAATCAAATACAAATCTACCTCTACATTTGATTGCTTGTGCTTTATTCTCTTTATCCCCTCTTTGGGGAATAAATACTCTTTGAATCCATTATATATAAGACTTAAAGATCACACCGACTGCAAATTAACACGGAGGAAAACAGTACAGTGGACAAATCAAAATAAGATACTGCATAGTGATGGTAAATCAAACACACTTTTTTTAGTTACTGTATTACGGACTTTGATTTTTATTTTGTAGTTAAGACAATAATGTGGTGTTGTGTTTGTTTTGTTGCTTTGTTTGCATTCAATACACCACAGTTTTACCCTGATGACACTGCAGTTGATCTCTTATATCCACAAAACCGGGATCTGAAGCCTGTGACTCACCCAGTACTGGGAATGTGAGTGGAGAACTCCAACCAATACACTGATTCCTTACAATGTTGAATTTTTCTTCTTCCCAAAGAAGTTTAAAACAAATTAAAAGTAGATTCAAAGACAGTTTATCTTCATCAACTACAATAAATCATGCCACAAAATGCATTTTTCACCACCTCTGGTCCGGGCTATGGAATAACCTACTGATACTGACTGTTCTTTTTTAAGTGTTATAGATAATGTGTGTGAAATTGTAGTGCAGACTCCGGGAGATGCCTGGAAACTGTATGACGAAGGCAGGGAAACACAAAAAGCCACCACTGGGAATTTGATCAGCAGGTCAGTCACAAAATCCTTCTGCATACTGTATTAGTGAGGTATTTGGTCAGTTGAGACAAAATTCATCTGAGATTTTGGATTTTGAAATTCTGTATCAATGATCTTTCACAAAGGATGTGTAGTTAAAATTCCTTGATATCACAGCATTTAAATCATTTACTGTAGACAAACTAGCATGCGTAAACAGGCACACATTCACAGTTTAGTCTCAGTTTGAGTATGAATGTGTCTTTATAATTTTTTCTTCCCTAGGTGTAGCTCCCTTTATTCCATCAGTGCTGAGAAGAGGCTCCGGTCTGACAGTGAATGTGCAGAATACAGTCTCTCCAGATTGCAGGTCTTTGATCTTGCTGGTGGGGCATTCAGGAATGATCTGAATGGGTGGGTACTGGACCATATGGCAGAGTTTTGTTGGCTTTATTCCTTTAGAATGACCTGGTTTTCCTGGAATATTTTAATTCTAAAGGATTAGCCCCCTGCTGAAAGTCTTGGACCAATCGGAGTCTCGTTCCACACCTTCTGACAGTCTGCTGCCTGTTGTATTGACTTCAGCACTTCATGGAAATTGCTACAATGTTCTTCTGTACTGTATTAAGCCACAGGGTGAGTATCAGGAGAAGCATTATGATACTGAAGGAGAGAGAATGGTATGGTAACCGACAGGTAGCAAAGTCCTTTGGATGAGATGTGGTCATTAAAAATCCCAGAGCAGTTCTAGAAAAGAGTAGGGGTGCTTCCCTAATGTCCCGGCCAAATTTCCCTTCGGCCTTTCCCAAACATGGTCTCCTAATAGTCCCCATCTCTCAATTGGCTATGAATTGTTCTCCTCCTCACTGATAGCTGATGCGTGATGAGCGTACCATCGCATCATCCAGGTGGAGAAATCACATTGTTGGTGTTGGAGGGGAGTCTCTATTACCTGGAGTGTCCAGAAAAGAGCTGTATAAGTTTAAGGAATTATGAGTCATTATTATTAAATTTTTCAAAGAAAGAAACCAGTTCAAAACAGAACATTTTCCTTTGATAGAAATTCTGTCTAATTACCATGTTTTTTTATTCCTCTTGTTTACATGCTCCATTTTCTTTTGATTATCCTTTTAATTAAGAAAACATCCTCTCAATCTGGCTCATTGACTCATAGCGGGTGTCGATTACATTTACATTATTACTGCTTAAAAAACGGAAAACCTGTTTTTGTTCATTCTTTTTTCTTTGGCATAAAGTTTTAAACACCCCGTATCAATATTACTAGGAACTATGGCGCCAGGAAGGAAGTGTTTTGAAAGACAATGGTGTTTAGATTTCAAACCCCCAAGCCTTTGGTGTGCATTACTGTAGGCCTGGTGGATGAAGAGACCCCCTGGGCTCTGGAACTGGCTCACAGGGTGAGAGGCCTGACAACAAGGGTGTCTCCCGGGCACTGGAGTCCTCAAAGGACCACTCACAGGTTGCGGACAGTCATCAGGGAGCTGAGGAACAGCATAGTTTTACAGGGGGAGAGTGGAGATGATGAAACAAGAGAGCTGGCTGGACTCATTAAAACACTGCAGGTAAGGGAAAAACTGTAGTCAAAGTAACACTGGAGAATACATTTCAGGCTCTTGTGCACATTTCTGACATGGGAGTTGTGGGTCAATTAACCGTAAGTTAGCAGGAAACTCAAATGGTACTTTTTCACTTAGTGTGAAGTCATTTGTTCCAACGCAGAATGAAAATAAGAGAATCAGAGTAGTTTAAGAATGGCAGTGACTAACAGCAGCTTCTACTTTTTTCTAACATGTTAATTAAAAGAAAGGGACAAAGAGATACTGTCTTTCAAAAGGGGCCTTTAAAAAAGTCAAAGATGGAAATGTTAGCCCCTTTAATCTCCCTTTTGTGCTTCGTGATCAGGTTGTCAAGAACCAGGATTGGGAGAAAAAAAGAGAAAAATCAAAAGAGAATGAAGAAAAACGAAAGGTTTGCTTTTCAAATTTTTATTTTCCTCCCATCACAACGTGTTTTAATATTATTGTCGTTTCCAAATGGACATGAATAAAATGCGGCCAAATTCCTTTTTGGGTTGGGCTCTATTTAGGAACAAATAACAGCCAGTCATGGACTCCCTGAAATATAGTAATCAGCTATTTAATATCAAAGGAAATTTAGAAAGAACATGTTTCATTGAAACTTTTGAAAATAGATGATAATTTGATGGAACAGTCAGCTAAAACATATAGGTATGCTTTTGTTTTCATTTGTGATAAGAAGGAAGAAATCATATATTTAACAATATACCTGCTTACACCATTCAACAAACATTATTTAAACATTACTACCTAATCTCATAGTAAAACAACTTAGTGAAGGCACAGCCTTTCTTAGTCATTTAAATAAAGGGCTTGTTACCGAACTGTGTGTGTTCTGCTGCTGAGGCAGAGCTGTGCAGTCAAATCCTCTGATGTGGGGACGCTATCCCATGGTGCTCCTCAGCTGAGGGATATCCAGGAGAAGATTAGGCAGCTTCAGGAGCAGTTGAAGAAGGAGATGGAAGAACATCTGAGAGGTAAATGAGTATCTACATTGCAAAAGCCTTCTTACTGCAATGGTATGTGAGTCACAGTGATCTGCTGAGATCTTGTTAGTGTTGGATGTTATTGATTTATTTTCTGGAGGTGCATTCATCTGTTTATGTTTTTGGAGACCTAGAATTCCTCTGAATTATTGTTCCAAATGAAATCATAAGATCTAAAATATATGAAACTAAATGAATGTATAATTATACACAATGCTGCTATAATCCTGGAATACTGAAAGAAACCCTTAAAGTTACCAAGATTCCATTTCTTTTGGGGTACCTCTTGGCCAATTAGTGAGAATTACTAAGTAAAAATTTCTCTCTCACCTCTAAAAAAGACTTAACTGTAACTATAATCCAAAACCCAAACCAGCCTGTCCTTAAATTGATCTCAGTTTCTTTATACTGATAGTCAGTAGCCACTGGATAATTTGTAATGGTTTTTAAATACCGTGCAACACTGAAAGACTGCCCACCTGGGATTTCTGTTTAATTACATGTCATCATTGTGATTCATCTATGAAGAGAAAATGTAAATGATTCAAAAGGGGTATCAGGCTGTCTGCAATGCAATGAAGAGTTTATACAGAAAGAAGCAAGGCAGGATTTCAGCTTGACCTCCACCACAGATGGGAAGGTTACTGTTGACAAGAACCAGGAGAGAGTGGGCAGGATCCAGGAGCTGAGGGAAGCCATCAGAGAGGAGCAGAGGAAGCGCAAAAATGCTGATCAGGGGTCAGGCCATCTACAGCATTGCAATGACCAGGTATCTAATGCCCTCTTCCCTTGGACTATTTTATAAGAAAGTGTTTGATGGAGATTATGCAATACTTGGCCAAACAGCATTACCATTGCTGGTTTCATCCTGAAATGTCTCCATTTGGATTACATGGCAAAGCCCTTGTATCTCACTGTATGACCTTGGCCCACTGACATGGTTTATTTCCATGTTTTATATAACTACTGTGAGAAAGGCATACGGCAGCAACATCCAAATATAAAGATGCAGCACATTCTTTCATCCCATAAAGTAGCCTTTTCAAGGTTTTCATCTTCGCAAAAGCAGGAGATTTCAAGTAAATTTCAAAATGTAGTAGTAAAAACAAAATAGAAAATGAAAGAATTCAAATTAAAGGTTACTATCTCGAGGAAGGGAATAAAAACCAGTAGGTGAAGGGGTAGTATCCATGGTCTTGTTTTTGGCAGCCCTGAATTAAAGGCTAGTATAGAAAATACTGAAAGATAATCTCTAAAAATTAACAGATGGAACGCATATAATTTTCTAATAATTGCCTTGCAGTGTAAATATGACGTAGTATGAAGAATATGATTCCTATGCGCAGATACAAACAATAAAAGAAAACTGAACAAATACTTTTGTTTCACCCTTCAGAAATAGTCTACCGTAATAACTGGGCTAAATTATTACCTTTAGTATTAAGCTTCTTAGATTTGTTTTAAATTGTCAACAACTCATTTTCTGTTAGGCAAATTATTCTTGTGACAAAATGTCTGACGCGGAGCTGGAATATAGCCAGGCTCTGAACAGGAGGAGACGACTGAAGGAGGAACATGGCGATCTAATTCACAAGGAACTGCTGAAGATGGAACAGGAGCTGGAGGCTGAGAAGGTGACAGGGATGTTCAGTGTGCATGTTAGTGGACACTCCTTAGGAAACAATTAAAGGGGAACTGCAACGTTATTTTTACATTTCGGGGGTTAGAAAGAATCATCATTGATGAGTGCATTTCAAACCACAATAAAAGTAAAAGGTCCACAGTAAGTTGTAAAACCTTCAATTTACGTCACAAAATTGAGAAACTTTCCAAGTATGTGCAGTGCCATATTCTGAGATTCAGAACAAGGCAACCAAACATCTGGTGATTTGATGCAGCTCTGTTACATTGTAGGCAGCAGGGAGAGCGCCTCCTGCTGGCCCCACTTACACCTCTTCCAGCAGCAACCTTAGCTTTCCCAGGAGATCTCCCACCCAGGCACTGGCCAGGCTCACACCTGCTGCGCTTCAGTGGCTTGCCAGTTCTGAGTTACAGGGTGATATAGCAGCTGGTTTTGAACCAGCTTGCAAAAGCATGAGTCCTGAGGGTTGCTGTCTCTGTCATGTGCAGGACGAAGGCCAGGCCGTGGAGGTGCAGCGCTTGGACAGAGAGCGGGAGATCCTGGTGTTGCAGCTGGAGGCACTACGGAGAGAGAAGGCCGAGGCAGAGAAAGACCTGGAGGCTTACCACCACAGACGCATTCAGGAAATGGACTCACTCCAGGCAGAGAGCCTTCAGGTCAGCAGGTGTCAGAACCTGAATCACACCCGAGTGTTTTGCAGTTATCTGTCCAAGAAAAGATTTGTTTTTTTTGTGCATGTAGATGTATTTTTTTATAAGCAATTTTAAATAACTACTTTGGAACACTTTCAGAAATACTGAGGGAAAGATAAAATTATTTTAAAAGACCTATCCCTTCTAACAGATTAAAATTAAACACTACAAGGATCTACAGTTTTAACCTGTTTTACAGGGATTTAATCCCTTATAAACCAATAAACTGGGGGAAGCCTAAACAGTGAAGTTTAGAGAAGATACGTTTCTGTCTTATGTTTCTAATGTATTTTTTATTATTATGTAAATGTAAGACACAACAGGGATAGTTTTCAGTTGTTTGGTTGGCATGCTGTCAATTTGGATTAAATCCTGATTACAAACTACAGTATGTTTGCTTAAACCGGTTCCTGCATTTAGGTTTTTCGAGCCTTTCGAGAGGTTTTTGAGGACCAGGTAGAGACCCTGGAGAAGCGCTATCGTGGCCTGTTGCTGGAGGTCATTCAGGACGCAGTGTACCTATCAACTAGGAACCAGGAGCTGGAGGCAGAGAACAAGCAGCTCGAACACGGTGAGACAAGTCAAAGAGGCTGTAACACTTTTTAAGGGTAGAAAATTTCAACATGTAGAGAATACTAACCAAAAAAAGATTTCAGCATGCTTCCTGTCTTTCGGTAGATTTAGTATGATTTGTTACAGAAGGCTTACAGAATTTTATAATGTGAATCCAGGAATGAGTCTTAAATCACAGCAGTGTATAATTTGCACAAACTACACATGTAGCTTGATGGCTGTACTTGTGTTGTGAATTATTATTATTTGTATTCTTCTTCTTTCTTGTTAGTACTGTAAAATATTCCTTCTGAAAAAAGCACAGGTGATGGTGCTAACCATGATCCTATAGCGTGATGAACATGGCCTTTTTTACTGAGGATTTACTGGAGTAACTTCAGGTTTTCTATTTTTATTCACTTAGCACTGGCAAAACACAGAGATGCTCTTACTGTTGAGAGAGGCCTTAGGAGAGCCCAGCAACATCACCGGGAAACTGCCTCACTGTGACAGGGAGAGGAAGATCTGCTTTCATGCGCACAGTGGGGCTAATTCAATTGATCTGGCATTCAAAATGTCAACTGAGGGAAAGGAAAAAAGCAACACAGTGCGTAATACCCATGGAGGAGGATACAAATTGACAGGATTCAGTTCTCTGTTATCACAGCACTGTATTTGATTATATCCAGAACTGGTAAGCAGTTCATGTCTCATGTGTCCACATACTGAAAGTTCTTTATGTGTCTGGATGTTGAAGTTACTCCATAGATGAATACTGAAATCGTGCAAATGACTTACCAGCCCGATTCCTACACTGGTTTCCTCTATGAAAGAAAATAATAACATCTGACGTAAGAATTTTGAATAATACATCAAACCTGAAAATTTTAATCCTTTCCCACGGAGTCGGAACTGTAAAATAATTCAAACAAGAACAAGTGAAAAGCATATATATTTAATTGAATGAAATAAAGCATCCTTTTAATTACCTTTGTTTTATTCCTGCTTTCTTAAAGCATAGCTTGTTATTTAAATGACCTTTGTTTCAATACAGAAGCAAAGCCTACAAGGACTGCCATATCCATTTGCAAATGAGAAGGGAACTTGACATTGGTTGAAGTGTCTCTTAACAAATTGGAGAAAGTTCGTGTTTATGTTTTGTCATTGGTCAGAACAGACCCAGGAATATTGTTCCAAGGTTAACTTTTCTCAAAAAATGTTTACAAGAGTAAGACATCTCATTTATTTTAAGGAAGTAGTGTATATCAGAAGGGGAGCACAGTGGCTACCATTGTTGCCAGGGGCCCTGGGTTTAATTCTGGATGTGTGTATGTTCTCCCAGTGTTTGTGTGGGTTTACTTCATGTGTTCTATTTTTTTCTCGCAGTCCAAAGATCTTCTTGTAGGTTACTGGCTTCTTGGAAACCTGGATCCTGGTGTAAGTGTGTGTCTGTATTTGTGTCTGTCAGCCCTGCAATGGACTGGTGTACTGTTCAGGGTGTACCCTGCCTTGCACCAATTGCTTGCTGGGATATGCTCCTTTAGAAAATATGTACACTTTATATGCAACTCAAATAAAAAATCAAATACAAAAAGAACTGTAAATAGCACTTTATTTATTAGCAGAGCCCTTAACAAAAATAAAGCAGTTCTGAAGGCCAAACAATATGGTAAAGCATATGGAAACTGCATTTAGACAACAGTCATGGACTTATGATGTTTGAGACAAAAGAAGGCAACTCAAACAATATGCAATGAATATGGCATGTAACAGTCACTGAGACATCCTACAATTTCAGAATAACAAAAATATGATTGGCTTATTGTCTGGAAACTGATGGTAAAGATGCTTAAGAGTATCAAATAAAACACAATTCAGACCCAAGGTAAAAGCACCATCTTCATGAAAAGTCATAAACAAAGTCATTACAAAAACAAAGAATCCTCTTGAACTTTGGCAATCAAATGAAACTGTATTTCCTTGGGATTTTTCCAAACCACTGTTTAAAAAACAATAGTTTGCTAAGGTGCTGCTATAATCTCGACCGGTCTTACCCAAGTCTACTTTGAAATGCTTTGGACATCAGGCTTTTTTATTGCACCTCAAATTTGTGACTCCTACCAGGAATAAAGGACGAAGGATGTTTCTTCAAGCCAAGCTCCAGTTTGCAAACTGAGTCCCAAAACTAAGTATGTACTCCCATTTGAAATATCTGTCCTGGCTTGATAAAGTCATCAGATGATAATCACTAGATTCCTTGAAATGTTGGCACATAATTGGCTTAGTGCTACTGGCGATATGACAGGGATTAGATCCTCCATTGCCTTCTCTTCTCTTTCCATTTGATTGTGGTGAAATCAGTGAGGCACACACCTTCATTTGGCCTGAGCCACCTTTATGTTGTTGGTACTTGAGGTGTATGGAAAAATAGTTTCATGGGTGGGAAGGTCAGAGAAGTCCATCAGTATTGCCCCATCTTGTTCTTGAACTAAAAACATCAGGATAGCTTTTGCTTAAGCATGGTAGTACAAGTAAATGGCCAGACCAATCAATACAACTGAGACAAAGAAAAGAGGTGTGAGCTGGAGACTGAATAGGGAAACAGAAAGCACTGCGTTCACAAGCATGGAGCAAGAAATGACAAAGAGGCGTGTGATGTTACTACTGTGTTTCATGACAAGGGACATGAACAGGCCATTCAGTGCCTGAGTTGTCACAATCAGCCAAACCACCCAAGAATACCCCTCAAAGAACCCAGGGCCAGCATTGGTAAAGTGGGCACAGCAATTCACTGCCACTCCAAACACATAGAGAAAGAGATTCTGTAAGTTCAGTGGCAGTCGCTGAGTCTTCAGAATAAGCTCAGTGTAGACAGCAGCCAAGCCAGACACAAAGCAGTATGAGAGAACTAAAACAAGACCCAGGACACTGATATGAAACTGTGTTCCTACTACAGCTTCCCCTTTTTCTTCCTCAGTGTGATCCAAGCTGCTGTAGGTATGGCACACTCCAGCCATCATAAGCAAACAGACTGCCCACCACTGGACTGGCAGTAGGCGTTTGTTTAGAAAGAGGCTATACAGCAGGGCAGTGGAGATAATCTTCAGGTTGCTCAAGACTTGGAATGTGCTAGGATCCATGTAGAGCTGCATATAGACCACCAAATTATTATTGATTGCGTACAGCACTGCTGGAAAGGCATAAGGAACCATGTGGCCCCAGGAAAGAGTGACTTGTAGGGAGCGCAAATCCTGGATCAATAGCAGCCCCAAGGAGATCAAGAGCTTGGTTACCTCAATCAGCACCACACAGGATGAGGGGCTAAAGGGGACTTTACCATCGACTTTACAAAGCGTAATCAGGGGGGCATGAGAGCCATAGATAAAGACAGAAAAAACAAGAAGGAATAGCCATCCAGTTTGTGTGAACCTGCTTTTTTGCTGAGTAGAGACATCCAAAGATCTCACTTTTTTAATCACAATCATTTTTAGAAGTCAGTATACACATCCACACTACCTATAAAACACTGTGATAGTGGTTTCAACCAGTTAAGGCTTAATATTTTTTTCTTCAGCATAAGCTTCCATAATACCAAAATACTGATAATCTAAACATGCACTCAACCCAGTAGAAGGAGTCTTTAAGACCTTTAGCTAGCCTTTAAGACCTTTTAAGTTAAAAAGGTGGGTTTGATTGAGAACTTACTACAGCAGTAAAACAAACTTGTTTAGACTTTTTGCACTGTTCTTTGCATCTCAGTTATTAACCATGTCTCATTAGAAAAAACAAAACCCAGTAGCCCCGCTAACTGGCTGACGCCATGTAACAAAAACATACAAATCCTGACTCGTGTAAAGAAATGAGCTTGACAAAATGGAAAGTTCAATTACCATTACACAGTAAAAGCCTTTTGAAACTCCCCAGTGTGCAACAATTCGTTTGTAAAGTCTTATGAGATGATCTATTCAATCTGCTTTGTACTTTTGTCCAGCTATTCAAAACAGTGATTCCAATAACAAACCAACATTGCTGCTCCCCTGTACAGAAGTTAGATTCATGATAAATTAGGCTGCACTGGGCAACATCTTTAAGGCAATTCAATTCTTAAAAGTCAAACCACCCAAACTGTATTCTTGCATAAGCACTTTAAAAAAGTTCTTACAAAGGAATTAACATAGGTCTAAATTATTGCCCTGTAGAAGAACTATTGCACTTTCTGAAGATCAGCTTTACAGTATGATTTGGACCCTGATTTCTAAGTTTTTGCCATGCATTAGCCCACAAAGCTTCCATGCTGTGCCCTAGAATGGACTGCACCCCTCCAAGTAATATATCAAAGCATTATTCAGTTTGAAGGAAATAGAAAACAGGTGTCCTCCAGAAATAACTTTGGTTGGGGACCCTTTCTGGAGTGGAGGAAAAGGCATGGCATGTGCCAGCCCTCTGCAGAAGGACCTCTCCTGGTCAGTTGGGCCCTTTCTTCATGGAATTGAAGTAGTCCTTAATGGATTTTTCTATGTTGGGCACATCATAGTTCTGCGCGGCAAAGATTCCCGTGAAGGTTCCTACAAGCACCCCTAGCACAGCAGAGGAGCGGAGCTTAGCTACCACATAGCCGGCCAGGAACCCCTTCAAAAATGGAGATGCCAGCAAGCTCCCTCCCTAAAAAATGAAAACAACAGTGTTGGAAATCAGCAGTTTTCCTTGATCAACTGCGTCTGGTTGAGAATGCGGTCTCGGGAGAATGGAAAGTGCTTACTGGTTCTGACTTCTATTTTAGTTCATTTTAAGAGCTGGTTTTGATTAACTCCTGGAAAATGATGTGACAATTGAAGCTTACAATGGTTTCTAGCAAAGTCTTTTAAACTTAACCTCCCATTACCTATGGTGTGAAAGTGATTTAAAAAACATGTGGAGTTCAATTATATATAATCTCCAATGGTACTGGATTAGATGCACGGATGAAAAAGAGAACAAATAGTTACCTGTGGTATTCCTGCTTGCACTTCGCTTTCCACTCGTTTTTGGATATCCTCCAGCTGATCTTTGAGCTGAGCAAGGTCCTTCAGCTTCCTCAGAGGATCCTGCAACAAATCCATTTCAGCCAGGTGAGCTCATGTGCACTTAAACCGGGGACTGTACCCGAAGACACCCACTAACATACAAAATATCCCCCAGAAAATAACATGCTTAATGCAGGCCTGCAGAAGCTAATACCAGAATGCATTTGTATCAGGTTTACTCAAAAAATATCACAAGTAACTGTTCCTGAGTTCAGAAAACCCCCCAAAAAAATGACATTTACATTTTAATGTATCACATTTTGATAAGCTTAATAAATTAAATCTTTTTTTGTCAACTTCCACAAACCAAACATTCACCCCCTTCCAATTCTTTGAATTTCCCTCCCTGGCACCACAAGAAGTTTGCTATCCCACAGGTCTTCACAAGTGCTGAATCACTTTACCATGTTCCTCCTCATTCATTTGTTTCAGTACACAGTTGCCTCATTTCAAAAGAAGGCTGGAGAATATATGTACTACATTAAGATATACATACTTTTGTAAAGACATGCATTCATTTGTAAAACAGTACATATAGAAAGAAAAAAAAAAGAAAGGCCCCAGACAAGAGGAAGGCATCTGTAAAACGGACCTTTGATGACTAACACCTAATCACAGGGCACATTTTATTGTGTAGTTTTGACACTTATTTCATATGCTTTGTCACACAACCAGCAAGAGAGATTGACTTAAGGAAGAAAGTACATGCATAGAGGCAATAGCTTACCAAACACAATTCAACAACAATGAACAGAACTGCTAGGAAGAAAAATAAGTTCGCCAACCACATTCTGAAAAAGGTCACTTCAAGGACATCTGATAAAAACTGCACCGAACCACAAGAAAATGTCCCTTTGTGTATCTGCATTAAAAATATGGTATTATTATGCCTACTTGGATCTTCCACAATTTTAAGAGCTGGAAATCCTACAGTACAAAGTATGACTTCCTACAACGTTCAGAACTAATCTACATGTACTCAGGTTTCACTGTTTTGTTTTGGCTCGGCTTAAAACAACATGTGAAAGATTTCGTAGGGAGGAAAAAAAAGGCAAAGTTTGCAAGCCATTTTACTGTTAAGGTTATTAAGCTCAATTTTTTAAAATTACTGAATAGGACTACGAAAAACATGCTTCCTTTTTCTTACTAGTGTTTAATGTAATACAGTTTATAGGGTGATCTTCTCTTGTGGTATACCACAGAAGGAATGCGAATCGCAATTACGTTCATATGGTGAGTATTAAGTCATCGGGCGTGGTTCAACGTTTACTTTTTTTCGTTCACAAATTCGGTTTTTCCTGTCACCACAGCGCATGCACCAGTACTACTGATCTCAAAACATATATTTAGTCTGCAACCACTAGATTTAGACGAAAACAGATTTATTGTTAATCTTTCACCGGTACAATATTTAACAACAATACAGCAGGTACTGAAGTATTATCTACTATTGATTACACAGGTCTGCACAGGGAAGCTCAAAGTGTCGGTGAAATATAATATAGTATAATCATTGTATTCGTTTTCCTATGAATAACCATATGCGTTCTCCTGTACAAATGTAAAAAAATCCAGTATTGCAGCCCATTTAATGACTGAATGAAACAAGTAGGCATAACTCGTCCATACTCAAGGTAGTGCAACCATTTAGGGTCTATTAAAAGCATGAGAAAGACGATACGTGTTAAATATATGTCCCAAAATGGCTGAAATAAAGTTAGAATTTCCTCTGTTTTACACAAAACAGCCGCGTCCCATTACACAAATGCCTGTGAACTTAATCGTTATAAAACAAAATACACTGCACTAACATAAGGGAATTATTTTAATCCAAAACACACACTCACCTTGTCTTCCGCCATGTTAGCTCGTCACAAGGGAATCCCTGGGATAGGAAACTGACATCTCGTTAACTGGGGAGACTGGTTTAGTCTGGATGGATTGTGTTTTGTACTCTGTGAACGATTAGTTATCCTTATGTGCAGGCGTAGAGTTGTTGCAGTGTGAGTATTGGTCATATGTGCGGGTGAAACGCAGGGCGAGTACATGTCTGGGGCTCGGTATTGAATTCAATATAGAATAGAATTCAATTCAATGAATTTAAAGCAGAATTGCATTTCTTTTTTTACATTTAATCGTATTATTGTACAAAAACATACATACCGGATGCCGTTGACTAGGTATGCAGACCAAATTTTAGGTACAAAGCAGAAATATAGTAGTATTTTGAGGGAGAATGCAAATAAAATGTGTCGAAGTGCAAAAAAGCATGTAAGAAATTTTGAAAAAAAAGGATAAAATATTCGAAAGTGAAAAAAAGGATATTTTAAAGCTAGTAAAATTCTATTGAAAACCCACTTGAAAACATAACATACATTAATCTTCTAACAGTTTAAATCAATTTAGGGTCGCAGTGGTTATTCGTACTGTGTAACAGATTTATGGGAGGGCGATACGGTGGCGCGATGGTAATATTGCCGCTTTGCAGACATGGGCTGCTACCTGCATTCTCTCCACTGGGTGCTCCAGTTTCCTCCTATAGTCCAGAGACACACTGGAAGGTTAATTTGCTTTTAGGATAATTTTATACCCTGGTGTGAATGTGTGTGCCCTGCAAAAATAATATATAGAGCTTTTCCTGACACTCCACTCAAAGTGCTTTATAAGTAAGCCCTCACCTGGATGATGTGACGGCAGCCAAAGTGCACCAGTACTCTAAGCACACATCAACTGTTAGTGAGGAGAACGTCCACAACAGTAATAGCCCATTATGGTGAGCAACTCCTACTAGTCCCACTACCTCCTCTTCCAGCAGCAATGCTAGCTTTTCCCAGGTGGTCTCCCATCCAGGTAATGACCTGCTGTCTTTGTGGATCCTAATGCCCCAGTATAGTGACGGGACACTGCACTGTAAAAAGGTGATGTCTTTCGGTTGAGACGAAGAACTGATGTCCTGACTCTCTGTGGTCATTAAACCTCCCAGGGCATTTCTCTAAAAGAGTTGGGGTGTAGCTCCGGCATCCTGGCCAAATTTCCCATTGGCCCTTACCAGTCATGGCCTCCTAATAATCCACATGATTTCCCCACGAAATCTATGATTTGCCTTCATCACTCTGTTCTCCAGACAGATAGCTGGTGTGTGGGGAGTGTTCTGGCGCACTATGGCAGCTGTCGCATCATCCAGGTGGAGCTGCACATTGGTGGTGGTGGAGGGGAGTCCCCATTACATGTAAAGAGCTTTGAGTGGAGTGTCCAGAATAGTGCTATGTACAGTAATTGTAAGGAATTATTGTTATTATTTTTATGCTTGCCGAAAAAGACCACAAAAACGTTGGTCACCATGGAAAACCATAACCCAGAGCTTGTTGTAAAGTCAACAAATCAATTTACAGATTACAGATTATGTTTTTGGACAGCTGTACTTGTGCAACATAACCAAATATTTAACCTGTCACTGCTTGTTACAACTATTTGCCCGGTCCTTTTGTTACAAAACAAAAGGTAGTTGAAAAGAAAAGGCTATAAATGTTTCAAAATGTGTAAACAGGTAAGAGGATTTTTCTACCATTTTAAAATAATTTTTAATCAAAAAAGAAATCTAGGACATTACCTGTGCTCCAGAATGCTCCAGTCCAAAAGGTTTTTAGGGTCACCCTAAATCATTTGTTTCTAATCATAGGGAACACAAGTAAGTTGTTTATCAATTAATGATGTAAAGTACCCAAGGAAACTTTCATCCTTAATGATTGGTAGTTTAATTCCTAACAAAGTCTAGAAGACTTATATTGAACAAATCACTTGCTAAATTGCTGCACTAGAAATGGATGATTTAATGATTATGTATAAAACCTACTGTATTGGGAGCAAAGACAGTTCCATATAGTCTTTGCAACTCTTACCTCACCAGTGAATGAGTGTCTTTTTTGGCTCAACGTTTAGATGATGAAGAAAATTCCAGTGTATTATTATTCCAGAGTTTAACAATAAATTAATTTAGAAAAAAATCTCTAGTAAACAATTTCAATGTCTGATTATTAGAAAGTATCACAATGCTTTCCTGGGAATCCTCTGCACTTTATCTAAATTCTCCCTGTAGGTTTGGTATGCTAACTGCGATAACAGATTTTCTTGGTTGCATATTTGCATTGATACTATGAAACTTCAAAAACTTTTAAGGAAGCCAGAGGTTAGACAGAGACTTAGCAGAACTGTGCTTAATAATCACTAAAAAGCATTATGTGTGTTAAAATGAACTAAGACCTATTCCGTATTTCTGTATTTAAAGTGATAAGTTCCTGTTTTCATTTACATGTTACCTGTTTACCTGTTTTCGTTTGTCTCACTATACATTATGCTATGGTGCAGTACTTACATTATACAGTTCATTAACTGGATAAAAGTTTAACTACATGTATTATAAATAATAGTTGTAGTTTACCTTTGTGTTGCAAAACAGTAAACTGTTTCAAAGCACTGTTAAAATCAAATTCTAAATGTTTTGCACTGAAATGTCCATTTGAATCCATATTTCAGCAGGACTGCTCTCTTTTGGTGAATCTGTGTTGATTGTTTATAAATAATTGGCAAATACATCACAAATTTACAAATAAATACATTCCAAATGAACACAAATTCAAATCCCCGTTGGGCACAGAAGTCAGTGCCGCAGTATTCAAGGGGATATGTTTTTTTTTTCTGAAGAAAAACTCTTTTGTTGGTAAATCCCCAGTAGACTTATTCATGGGGGGTGCTTTAACTGTTAGTTGTAATCCACTCTCGTCGTGATTGCCCCTGCTGCAGTCTGGATGCTAGGCCTTGGTTGCTATGGGAACAGATGGAGGTGATGAAAGGATGCTGCTGGCAGCTGCAGAGTTGAGTTAGTGTGATGACGGAACATGAAAAACACCCAAAGCCCACCTTCTGTTAAGGTGGATCTGTTCAAAATCTGTCAGTTGTGTTTAAAGAGTGCTATTTACTCCTTTCCCGTTACATTTCCTATGCTTTTTGCAATGAAATATATTTTGTCGCATGTGCTGACCAAGTAATAGTTGTTAATAACAAGTTAGATTGCTGTGGTATTTATGTTATATGAGTATTGTTGCTTTTAATGACTCCTGCCATATCTCAGTACATTTGCTCACTAGCTGAGTAGCAGTAACCTTTTCAAGCTCTTAAATTTGAGAGCTTTTTTGTTTAATTTGAGATTATTCTCATCTTTATTATTAACTTTTAATTATATTTTAATATTAATTAAGCTTTTATTTATTTTATTTTAATACATTATGCCATTGCACAAATTCTAATTTATTTCAAATCAGAGTTTCTGCAGCTACTGTTCTCCAAAAGTGCTGCAACAGCAGCGACAAACCTGTTTTTTTTGCTTTACAGTCAAGCAATTTGTATTTGCAATCATGAGATTATTTTATTTTTGAATGGGTACCTGCATATTTTTGATCATATTAAAACAAAGGCACACTTAAACAACCCAGTGATTTAAATGGACCATTGGTATTGGAGCTCATTCACTAAGTGAATTTATGAGTATACAAGTCAATATATAGTTGCATTTGAAGCAGTAGCTGCATGAAGTCTACCATCCATTGAGCTCAACTGACTTTGTGAATCAAAATTGAGCAGCTATTATGGATTTTTGTCTATTGTTGGAGCATTCAGCCTTCATTTTTTTATTCAGCATATAAAATGCCAGCTCAGTTGGCTTTAAATCAGTACATTGACTTGGTCTAAGATTCTTATCCTGTTGGAATCCTTGGTTGATTTGGCCGTATGGTTTGGTTTATTGTCAAGAAATATGGTGAAGAGCAGCCCAATAAATAGGGGAATAATTTCTTGTTCAAAAGCCAACAAACGGTTTCTGTAAATGTTAGAATTCTTTTTGCTTCTGCCATCAGCACCTGCACATTGTTTTCTTTTAACACACAAAGGTGTTGGAAGTGGTGACTCAACGGGGTGAGTGAATTTAACAGTTGTCCATTTAGATTTAGATGGATATTTAGATACTGTATGTGAGATATAGCTGTTAAAGGCTATGATATAGCTCAGAATTGTTCCCCCTGCTTTCTCTAAGGCTTTGATGACTGATTAAAATTTCATTCCACTGATGCAACCAACATGTGAGCAACAGATGAAGAAAAGGTGAATTTCGGTCTTATTTTCATTTGAAGAACACAATCAGTGCAGTGTTTCTAATGTGTTGATATGAGGGTGTCATATATCATCTTTTTCTTCATTGTGTGAGCTTTGACTTCTGCAAAACTACAGTCTTTCTTTTATAGTCCTGTGTATACTGTACTGTTGGCTGTTGTAATTTTATTTTCACATATGTCATTCAGCTTTTATTTACAGTTTAGCTATTTTAAAAGTGTGTTTGTCAAGACGATTTTTATCAACACTTTTATTTTTTAATTCTATATATTTTGAGTAAAACATTTTCCTCACTTTCTTAAACAGACATATCTCCTTAGTTCATGAATTGGTACATGTTTTAATTCTCCTCTAAAAGCTGATTATTAAAACTATTAAGATAAAACTATTATATAAATCAAGGGATTTTCTATTCTCTTTCATTTGATCAAGTGATTGTTTAGGGAAAGAGGAGGTTTTATTTTTTGTAGTAATAGCTAGATCTGTTGTTTGTTTTCAATGATTATTTATTTTATGTTGAGTGTTATTTTTTGTAGTTTTGTATGGTGATGGCAAAGAATAATTTCTACCCTTTTGGATGGAAAAGAAAGTTATATATACTATACTATACTGACTAGGATGTAAAAAAAATATCAGTTAATGATACAGAAATTTTAATGAAGAGTTTTAGAGAAAACAATTGGCATTATGGTATTCCAGATATATCAACATTGTAGAAGGCTGGAAGATATTCATACATTTATGGCAGTAGGAGAAAATTGTGAAACATTTCCTTTCTCTTAAATAATCTGGTAAGATAGCAAATGAGTCTTGAATTGTTTTAACAAAAGGAATAATACCTGCTGATCTGCCTCTGAAACATTCTGTAAAACAGGAAAAAAATCACTGTGAATGTGCTCATTTTACCAACCATTTTTAATTTAACTTTGAAAAACAGAAATAAATTGGGGTTGGCTCAATTCCTCAGCAGTCCAGATATTTAACAGTTCACCGTTAACACCATGTACATTTCTCGTCATTCCATGCACATACAGCACAGTTTGTAAAAATAACATCTAGGGCCCAAAACCTAAACATTCTGCAATCTGTTTTGAGTCTCATATAACATTATTTTCAGATGATTTTTATAAAATATACCAACTAGTTGAATAAAGTAAATGAAATAAAGGTTTTGTATTCCACAAATCAGGCTTTAATATTATCTAGCTCCTGTTTTCGTCTCTTTTGAAATGTGTGCTGATAATGTACAAAAAAACATTGTTAGATGTTGATGTACATCAGCCCACACTCTGCTCTATTGTGGCTGCTGTGAACCCAGCTAGCAAAATCTTTGTCCCAGTATTTTTAAAATCCCTACGGAAATAAAATATTCTCATAAAATATAAATAAAATAATCTCATGAATACTAGTTGCAGAATAGTATTTTTTCGTTTTCTGTCTGCTATCAATAGTAACGATGCAAGTTGCTAACAATAACATACTGTGCAACATATTCTTAACTCTGGAAAGCATTCAGCTTTTAATAAGTCATCCATGCATTTTTTAGCCACTTCATCCAATTTCAGAGTCATAGGGTGAGCTGGAGCCTATCCCGGCAAGCAATGGATGCAAGGCAGGATGGAATGCCAGTCCAGTCCTAGGCAGACACAGACGCACAAACTTCTGGATCAGTTTTCCCAGAGGCCAAGTAATCCACCAGTATCTCTTTGGGCTGCGGGAGGAAACCGGATCACCGGCAGGAAACGCATGTGAACACGGGGAGAACATACAAACTCCACGCAGATAGCACCCCCCGTCCGGAATTGAACCCAGGGCCCCAGCGCTGTGAGACAGCAATGCCAACCACTGCGTCCCCATGCTGCCCCTATTAATAAGCCTCTAAATGCTAATGCTGTTGCTGCTACAAAGGAACAAGAAAGTTGCCAGTCCTTTGTTCCGCAGCCGTGACTAATTTGAGAGTGGCTGCCGCTTTTGTATAAACTTGATCCACGTTATTAAGCTCACAGTTACACCACTGCAGCAGATGCTCAGCTACAAGCTCCAAATTAAATTAAATCCTATTAACTTTGCCTCTCATCATAATTCTGACCTGGAAATGGCAATCATGCTTTGTTTTTTTTTTTCCCATGCAGCCCAGTGGATGAATTTTTGTCCTAAAAAAGCACTACTATTGGCAATCCAGAGATCCAAGAAAGCTATGTAACAGTGTTTCATCACTGACCTGCAGCCAATGTGCTGCTGTTGCAGGCATCCTTAAGGCAGTCATGGGAGGATAGGACACAGAGGGGAGGCGAGGGGGAGTGACGAAGTGGGAGCTGCAGGCGTATTAAACACAGGATACCCAAGGAGAAGTGAACCAGCTCCACAAGCACGGCTGTATCGATCCACCAGCAGTTTCCGAGAAGTGGGCTTGAGTTAATTACTCTTTGTGTGGCTACACAGGTTGCAGGGTGCGTAATCTTAATCTCCTTGGCATGCTTGATCTGCTCTCCCTGTTTGCAGAAGTGCTCCGGGTAGAGTTGTCTTGGCAGCAGCTGGGCTGGAGTGAGATGTACTGCGGCTAGCCAGTTCAAGGCTGGAAAACTGCTCATCTCTGGGCTCCAACATGCTGGGAAAGGACTACATGCTGGCTATCATCATAGTCAACTATGATGGTGAGTAGTGGGGCTTTTTTCTTTATATCTGTGGTTTTCTGACTGTATGGCTGTGTTTTCAAGCGCTGAAGAGAACTCTATGCTGCGTTTTCCGTGACTTAAGTGCACAGAATGCCGTTTTGTGACAGCTCTTAAGTGGCTTGCTTTAGAGTTTACACTACTGCAGATGTAGAGCCCACAACCCTATTTAGCATGGTCTGCTGCACACAGAAACTCTCACTACTGCTCTGCTGCCTTATAGATCACTGGTGCACCTCAGTGATCACCCACTTGTAACAAAAGTACAAAATACAGCCCCCTTTTTTACTTTCAAATTTCGGTGTCTTTACAGTCTGTACAATTTCCATCATTTGTAATTCCGTAAAATGATGAATCCCCCAAAAATTAAATGTCCTGTCACATTTGAGAGCCCACAGACTGTAAGTAGATATAATGTGAGAGGGCTCCTTTTTCAGGTTGGGTAGTGGTTATTTTATTAAGTATTATAATCCTTTGCAATATAAAAGCTTTCAACTTTTATTAGAGTATGAAGATGCCATACAAAATGAAAATGTGTGAAAAGGTGTGAAAGACATAAAATGCATTTTGTGTTTAAACTTTTGAAAAACATTTGATTAGCTTTCAGGTTTGAGAGAGACAAAAAGTGGAGCAGCTTTTCCTCTAGAGCTTTTAACATTGATTGATGGAGGGAAAAGGTGTAGAAGTGAGCATCTTTGTACAATATGTCACAGATCCCTAGCGAAGGGTTAGATGTTTTGAAAAGCTGAGCAATCTGTGTAGAATGTTGAGGCCATTCACAAGAGCTTTATAGCAACACAGAGGCTGACACAAAATGGCCTTTGATCACTCCAACGTCTAGAGTGTAGTAACTTAACATTTCCAAGGCCCTAAGGCTGTAGACTGGTCAATAATGCAAACCTTTAAGGGGTTCCACAGGCTGATCCTCAGGCACTTTCATTTAGAATCCAAGTGAAATTCAAGACTTGCTATCCATAATGTACTGTACTGTATGCATCCTGTAGGTTTGCCCAGTTGACCTTGCTATTACATTGGTATTAGTTACACACCGATATTGATTAGAAACATAAGAAAGGCCAAAAGACAAAATGTAAAAACGTGTGTCCTGTGCTCCATTTTAAATGTCCTTTCCTGCAGTTTTAATTTGAATCCTCTTGCTTTTGTTTCACTGTTGATTATGAATGAGTTCAATGGGCTTATTTTGTCGGTGCCTTTAAGGACATTGTATACTTGAATACTTGAATCAGGTCCCCTTGTAGTCCTACTAAAATGACTAAAAAAATCAATTTCCAAGACCCTAAGGCTGTCAGTGTAGGAGATTACTTTAAGGAATTTTAGCTGATGATTCCACTCTGGACTGAATCCAGCAATAGTGATTTTGTGATGATCATAGTTGTTCTAAATGAAGTCTTTCCAGCGCATTTTAACCACACATGCTGGAAAATAAATGCATCACTTAACCTAACATTGTCTCCCTCACTTTGTTTAGTTAGAAGATAAATATTACGTGTCCACATAAACATTGTTCATGTTTCTGCACTTCTCTACATGAACTATCGTTTTCCAGGCATTTCACCAGTGTTGAATTTTGTGAAAGGCATTTTAAGTTTATTTTACGTCTTCTACTGTTTCCTACTATTTTGAAAATCACCTGTGAATTTCACTAGTTTACTATCTATGCCATTATCTAGGTCACTGAAATAAATTAGGAAGAGCAGTTGCTCTAATACAGATCCCTGTGGTACTCCACTAATTATGAGATCCCAATTTGAGCATTTATTTTTTTTCTGTACTCTCTGTCTTCTATTCAGTATCCACTTCTGCATCCAAAAGAGTTATGTGCTGACATTTTTTAACTACTCAGTTCTGTGTTTTGAAAAAGAGAACCTGTTATAAGGACAGTAAAGCCCAACACAATAATCTTACAGGTTTTTTTTCATTTGTTGATTTTTTTTCTCATTTCTTTAAATAATAACATCATGTCTTTGCTTGTTCTGGAGCTTTGTGACCGAGCAGCCTACATCCCTGTTTAAAGAAACTATGCGAACATACAAAATATAAGTTCTTGATGTAGTATTTGCAGCTAGTGTAAATGTGGATGGAAAGGTGCACATAGAATTATATAATGGTCTCACCTCGCTTTGTGACTTAAAAAAGCTAATTTAACCTTGATGTTTTATAGGATACATTTTAAAATAAAGGTATTTTACCAAACAGGTTTTAATTTACTAAACAAAAATTCCTACATGGAAGTTATAGCATTTGTTTGCACCCAGCCAAACTTGATCAAACATTCCTGTTCATGTATTTATGGTTACTAATCCCACTAAAGTTTATAATAGTGGCAACACTCTCAATCTATCTACCCTATGGATTCTAAAACCTGGCCATATCAATTTGTAATAAACCAGGGAGGTATATTTTGTATTTACATTTAGAAATGACACAAAAACAAAAAACATCATTGGTTACATTAAGGTGTAAACATATATTTTGTTTTATACTTCTTCTTTGTTGTACAGCAGACGTATTTTGTGCCCTATATGTGTTTTAATGGCAATGTTTAGGTGTTAGTTTAGTTTAGTTTACTCTCAGGGGAAGAGCCAGGATAAAAGGGGAATATTTTAATTTGTCAGACAGCCTTGTTCTAAGGTCCAGCAGAGAAGCAGGTTAAGGGTGAACTTTGTCTATGCAATTAGTTTTTAGCTTTTCACTTTATTTGTCTGACACATCTAGCACTTGTCCCTCACTTTGTCGAGATAGGAGATGAAGATTAAGTGTCACTAGGTGTTTTTGTCATCTAGCGTCCTACTTTTTGTTCACTTTTGTCTTCTTTGTTTTGTTTTGTACTCCCTGTGGCCGTTTCATCTGCAATTCCTGCATTTGTTAGAGTGTCCCATGGAATTACAGTCCAACCATGTAGGCACACACTTCACATTTGGTGAGGAGAAATGGGATGCCAAAATGGAGGAGATCCCAAAATCTGAAAATGACCTGCTAGTTCTAGAAAACATGCCATAGGGAGAGCTAGCAGAAGAACTGGCAAGTTCCAGATATTTCTCTATAATCCAGAAGCTACTAAACAGGAACACAGATATAAACACATGGAGCTGCAAAGTGTGGGGGGTGAACCAAGCTGAAATGCAGTGCCTTTGCCTGGAAGATGGAGAGAACCGAAGCTGGTAAAACATGAGGTGTCGGGCTACTGAACAATTACTGATCACCTTTGAAGAACTTCTACAGCGTGTTCTTGGGACAGAAGGCAGTGGGCCATTAGGCTGATTTCCTGCCAGAATGAGACAGGACTAATCAGACATTGATTAGGTGGTAGGAGCCTCTGGACTACAGAAAAATCAGGGGAGCCATTCTGAGAAAATATGAGATTAACATGGGCACCTACCATTAGCGACGCAGAGCTTTGACTATGTAGCTGGAAGAGACCCCACAGACATTGCGTGAACAATGCAGGAGTAGTATCAGAAGCGGATGTAAACTCAGAAAAACCAAGGCTCTTTATTAGTAAAGAGCCATGGGTATTAATATTTAACTGCAGCTTTATTAATATTTAAAAACTTTAGCTAGCAAGAAATGTCTGAGGTGGCAATTTTCTATTACCCACCCGCTGAGCTGGAGAACTGAGAATAATGAAATCAAACTATGCATATGCGGTGCCTCCAGTAAATTAAGATGAAGCCTTTTATGTAGTAACAAAACCAATAACAACCAATTTCACTTTAGTTTTCAAACTTGTCTATATTGCCTTGTTTCTATTGGGTAAATTCAAATTGGATTATGTAACATTCTGATGTACTGTACATTATTTATAATAACAACAACAACAATAACAATAATAATTCCTGACACATATATTATATAGCACTTTTCTGAACATTCCACACAAAGTGCTTTACAGATAATGGGGACTCGCCTTCACCACCACCAATGTGCAGCACCAGTGGGGAGGAGAGCACAGTGATGAAGCCAGTTCATAGAGGGGGATTATTAGGAGGCCATGATTGGTAAGGGCCAATGGGAAATATGGCCAGAACACCGGAGTAACACTCGTACTCCATTCTAGAAACGCCCTGGGATTTTTAATGACCACAGAGAGTCAGGACCTCAGATTTATGTCTCATCCGAAGGACGATGCCTTTTTACAGTGTAGTGTTCCCGTCACTATACTGAGACATTAGGACCCACACAGACTGTGGGTGAGCGCCCCCTACCGGCCCCACTTGCACTTCTTCCAGCAGCAACCTTAGTTTTTTCCAGGAGGTCTCCCATCCAGGTACTGACCAGGCTCACGGGCTTTTTATGCAGACTGTGCTAAATCTATCATTATTATTATTGTTGTTATTATTCCACCTGTAAGTCACCAAGAATGAACTCTCATTTCTAACAATAACCTGGTAACCAGATTATTCCAGAGGGCATTTACTGAAGCGTTTTGAGTGAATCTCCTCGTTCAAGGCTACTACAGCAGTATCTCACCTGAGATTTTACCACACAACCCTTTGGGGTGGAGTCCAGAGCCCTGAACACTATACCTTATTACTGTCTCCCTTTTACGTGTTTATATGCTCATAAATGCAAGCTGAATTGTTGGAAATGTGCATTCCTTACAAGTACAGTACTAAAACGTGTCTAATTGTGAGAGCAGAATATGCTCACTTTGTTTCCCACCATGTATCTTTGTTACAACTTCAGCAGCGCACTGCAGAACACGTGATTGAATTTCTGATTGAGAGCTAATCCAATGTGTTTACAACAGCTAGTAATGCATAAACACAATAGGAGCATGAAGGAGTGAGCCTAATAATATCTCTGAGAACTGAAATTAGAAAAAAATGATCTAATATGTCTGTGGATGGCCATTGCCGTTTGATCGCCATTTTAAGATTTTATGTGGGTTTCCTGTAGGTGCTCTGGTTCAAAGACATGATAGTAGGTTAACTGGGTTCTATGAAAACTAGCCCTACACA